TATAGAAACTCTGCCTGTCCATCTACGAAGGAATGGCTAAGCAACTGGCAGTGAAATGATTTTGGTGGCTACTCTGCAGTAGCTGTAGAGAGAGCTTGAGCTGCTCATACCAGCAGAGATAGCTATTAAAACATGGTTGAGTGAAAAAGTGCACCTATCAGACAGATCAGGGGATGTATGTGAACAGGTAACACACACAAGTAAAGATACATAAAAGAACACAGAAAAACTGTGTATTTTTATATTGAATGTACAAGAAATGGACCTAAATGGAATCAACATATAACAATGGTTACCACTGAGCTAGGGGAAAGGAATCTGTATTTATTTGGTGCGTTTTAACTCTTTTTTTAAGGTTAATGTATCTAGTTATTAATAACAGTTGACAATATTTTAAGATATAAGAGTTGACAATATTTTAATTATTACATTTATTTGTTTGTTTGTGTGTGTGTGTGTGTGTGTGTGTGTGTGTGTGTGTGTGTGTGGTGTATCCATGTATGCCTGCATGCCACAGCACACAAGTGGAGGTCAGAGGACAACTTGCAGGAGCCAGTTTCCACTTTCCATCATATGGGTCCTGGGGATCAAACTTAGTTCATCAGGCTTGGTGACAAGCACCTTTACACACTGAACCACCTCACCAGTCTGACAATATTTTAAAAGTGGAAATACTGAATAGCATATAAAGAAAGCAGCTTTATCAGAGGCTCTGAGTTTCTCAAAGACTGGAGGTCTTTGCCATGTGCCCGGTGCTTTAGTATTTTCTAGAAAATAATTTCTATATTGTTCCTGAGCAAGTATAACCATGTGGTTACTTAGTGGCTAGGGTTTGGCAGTCATTAAGAAAAACAGATGACAACAAGTGCTGACAAGGATATGGAAAAAAGGGAACCACAATACACTGCTGGTGGAAACGTAAACTAGTTCAGACACTATGGAAGTATGGGGGTTCTTCAAAAGAGCTGAAAATAGATCTACCATATGACCCAGTGCTACCTCTCCTGGGTATTTACCTGATGGACCCCAAGTCACACGTCATAGAGATACTTGCACATCAGTGTTTATTGTAACTCTATTCACAACAGCTGAGTTATGAAACCATCCTAGATGTCCATCAACAAAGGAATGCATAAAGGAAATGTAGGTACATGCTGGAAATGCAGACATAAAGAACAGTGTTAAGTTGTTTTCAGGAAAATAAATGCATCTTGAGATAATCATAATAAACAAATTAAGATGACCCCAGAAAGATCAATATTTCTCTCATTTGTGGGTTCCTAGATTGTGTACAGATACATAAAATCATGTAGAGATGTGTATATTTAAAAGTAGAAGTAAAACTGTGTTTGGAGACAAGGACTAACAAGGATGGGGGTTTAAGAAATGGGAGGGTTGGGGTAGGAGCAGCATATGGTCAAAGGCACTGTGCACCTGTGTGGAAGTGTCCTGTGACGCAGGACCATGCGAAATGGATATCTATCAGTAAGGGGTCAGAGAGACCAGTCATTCTCAATGCTGGGACTGGAAGACCTTGCCTTGGGGAGATAACGTTTTTGTCACCACACACGCTAGATTGACATCTGATAATACACATCCTTATGGGAATGCAGTGTGGTGTCTAGGTACATTTATGCTTTGTACAATGCCCATTCATTTCTAGAAGTACTCCCCAACGTATGCCAAAGATGGCCCTTGAGTGTTGTTCTCACAGTAAGGGATCTTCTGCTGTAAGTGAGTTCACTGATCAGTTTATTCAGCAGATTCATCTTTCCTTCATTCTCACTAACAGTATGTTTCCTGTGCCTGCTGTTCATATTAGATCCTAAAAAATCAAGATAAATTCCTTGACTTGAGTGAGAGATATATTTTCAGTTTTAACCTGTAGAGTCTTTAAAATGTATTTTCTAAAGGATAAAGGAAACCAGATTTGAGGGGAGGAAAGGGTAGATATAGATGATAAAGACTGGGATGGAAGGATAGGTGTGAGGAATTAGAGTCCATGAAATGGACCTGCATTCAGGTTGCTGAATGGAAGAGATTTAGGGGAAAAAGTGAACACAAGGGAGAACCTCCTCTCTAACGCCCTGTGAACAGCTCACCAGTCAACAGTCTTAGGCTTGACTATGATCATCATGCCTCTAGCTTAAAAAAGCAACAATAACACCTGCACCTTTTACAATATTAGAATATTGTGTGAAGGAGGGCTTGGGCAAAGTGCAGACCCTCAAGCTCTTCCCAGAGCCCTCTAAAAGGAGGCAGTGGACACTGGCTGGAGGCCCTCTGGGGATACTCAATGCTGTTCTTCCATCTGTACCCCCCATGTCTTCCTGCGTGGACAGCCTAGCATTGCCACAGTCTCTTGGGGTCACAAGGACATATGGGGAAGAAAAGGAACTGAAATTGGGGAGTTACCAAGTAACCTGTCTGTGCTTTCCAGCTCAGTGTTTCTTGGAGTTGAACACTGTCCTTACCATTGTAATGTAAGATCTTGCTGGCACACTTTGATATTGATAGAAAGACATACTACCTGCAGGAAGAATTTATTTGAACAATATTTATTTATTTATTTCAACAATATTTATTTATTAAAATATTTTATTTATTATTTTTATTTTATGTGTGTGCATGTATTGCCTGCATGTAGGTAAGTGCACCCATGTTGTGCAATGCTGGCGGAGGTCAGAAGAGGCTGTCAGAAGCCCTGGGACTGGAGTTATAGACAGTTGTTAGCTGCCATGTGGGTGCTGGGATTTGAACCC